GGTAGTTTGCATACAATGAAAGGGAGGGAAAGAGGCTTGCTCTCTGCCACTGTTCCCTTTTGCTCTTGCTGCTTTTGCTGCTTTCTATCACCATAAAGTATTGCCACTCTGCCTTGGAGCCAGCCCAGTAGGGACTGAAACCTCCACAAACTCTGAACTAAATAAACCTTTCCTTCCTTAATTCTGTCTCAGCAACAAGAGAAAAGTACCAGAAACAAGCTCCATCTAGATGTAGTCCTTTCTCTCACCACTGGTGGCAGCTACCCAAGCTTCCTTTTGGAAGGAAGGATCAGTTACAAAAACTGAGAGTAAGGGTGACCCCCCCTCTTTCTTCATGGTTCAGGGGCACCACAAGGTCACAGTAGCAAGAAGGCAGGGTGGGAGAGTGTGTGTGATTTTGACTTCTCAGGCATTATTTTCCTCCTGGTGGAAGTATTTTTTCCTTAGGAGCCTAGACCTCTGAATCAGCAGAGCTCAAAGTTCTGAGGCAAGAAAAGAAACCAGCATCTGGATTATTAGGTTTGATAGTAAGAGGAGTTCCTCTCACTCCTACCTTTCAATGATAATTGGGAGACACAGCCTTGAGTCAGGGGTCTCAGATTCAAAGCAAATCTTTATCTTTTCAGCATATCACACCCCCCAGTGATACCACCACAATCTCTGGGAGACCACTGGACTGCTGTGATTAGTCTCACTACTTTTTGATAATGATGCTTTAGTACTAGTTAATTCCACAGCTCTAGACCTATTGCTCAATTTCTTTTGCTCTGAAATGAATTAGCTCATCAGAACCAATATCATGCAAAATAACTCCATGGAAAATTTAAAAAATTCCTTAAGCCCAGGAATAGTGGTAAAAGCAATACACATCAGTGATCAACCTGCTCCTTTCAGGGAAGTGAGGTTTCTTCTTCTGTAATGGAAGGGATTGAATGTGATCAGTTTACTGCCAGCTGTGTAGCTGGCCCATTCAGGGGAAGGAACCGAATTGGAGATCATGGTTAGAGAGCGCTCCTGGCAAAGTAGATGCTCAGTAGCAGAGGTAGTGGGGTAAGCACCGGGTAGGGAGGGGTCTAAGTTGTGCAGCCCGTGCATAACTTCTGTCACTGCCAACAGAGCCACTTTGTCCATGGTCCACTGAGCAAGCACTGGTGTGGCTGGGCAAGAGCTCAGTGACATACAGAACGTGCCATTTTGTCTAGCTGATTGTTGGGAGCCTCCTCCGCTGGGGCTGCCTTTTGGTGAACATTCACCTGGGACAAACGTACCTTCATACTCTGTGCCCATCAGGGGAGACATCACTGGCAAACCTCTTGCTTAGTTAGGCTACCTTGCCACCAGTGTCCTAATTCTGTTCCCAAGCTCCTCCCCGTCCAGCCAAGCCATTAGCAATTCCCTACATATCACCACGGACCAGTGCTTCTGGACATCTTTTAGTCCAGACAATGTGAGCAGTCAAATCACCCCTCGAGGCTCTCTCCACAGAGGCATTTCCCTTCACCACTGTGGTTAGGGTCGGCCTTGGGCGGGTCTTCAACGATGACGCCATCCATTTCCAGTTGTGCCGTGGCATCACACAGAACAATCTCTAAGTGTTATGTTTTTCCCCCTCGACAGAATGCCCACAAGGAATTGCCTGTGAGACAACAAATGTGGACTGATGCCGAGGACCGGATACACCATGGGCTGGCGTCAAGAGTCTGGGCCACGACTCCCTCTACTGACTTGTTCCGTTTGGAGGTGCTTGAACCTCATGGCTCCTCTAGTATCTCTGCTCTCACTTGTTGCTCCTGCATGCCCCCAGCCTGATGGCTTCGTGGACCAGTTGACAGGAAGTTCAGTCTGAAGGGTCATTCAGTCCCTTCTGGGAGGTCTTGCCGAAGAGCAACCCAGAAGTAGTTTGTTAGAAAGATAGTAGTTATTTTCTGAAGAGGTGTCAATTGTTGCACCAACCAAAGTAATAACATGGTACTCTTGAGTTCCAGCCATCCCGTTTCCTGTTAGTTTAATCCTGTATTCAAGCTCAGGGTCTCTATGCAAGCATCCAGCAAATCCTTCTTGAAAGTCTACTCTCTGGAACCATGTCTGATGCAGACTATTACATCCATTGGAGTCCAGGGAAGATCAAAAAAATCCAGCTGTTTGAACAAAGAGAGTTGTTACCTAGGTGGAAGAGTCAGTGACTAGGTAATTAAAAGATTGAAAGGAAGAGTCTAACTTAATCGTGTGAATAGAAACTTCAGGAAGGAAAGATTCAGGAACTATTAAATGTGTGAATTGATAGGCCAGGTCCTGCATTCACAGAACTTCCCAGCACATCCTGGCACCATTAGACTTGAGGACAGGCCCAGGGACCTAGGACTCAGGACCCTGAAGGTGGTGGGGTGCTGACTTGAGCAAGGTCCACCATGGGGCACCTGGTAAAGCAGAAAAATGATTTGCAAAGTGTGACCACCAGCATCCCCAGGCAGAGTGGAGAGGACGGGCAGGGGTTTGCAGGACAGAAACTGAACAACTAGGAAAGAGTGACTTCGTGCTGAAGCCCATAAATTCCAAAGTAGCCATTTTTAGACCTTACCAGCATCACTCCTTTTCTTTATTTTTAGTTTCTTACTTTAGTTCTCTTTTTATGGACTTGGGAGTCAGATAGAGCTGGGTTCAGATTTCTTTTATCTCTTCCTTCCAAGTTATGTGGCTGGAAGCAAACTATTTGAGCTCCTTAGACTCTTTTTCTCCATGTGCCCACCAGGCTCACACCACCACAGCTCGGGTGTGAGAGTTTCACGTGAACAATTGATGCTGAGTGTAGCATGTGGCACACGTAGGGGCTCAGACACAGCCGTGGTGGTTCTCACCCGCCTTGCTTCCTCACCTCCTTTCTCTCCTCTGTGTGCCCTTTTTACTGTGTCTTCTCTCCTCTCTTTTGTTCCTTTCTGTCCCTTTTCATTCCTTTCTGATCTTTCAATACCTTGATCCTCTTCTACCTCCATCCCTTTGCTGACCATGGAACTGCCCCAAAGAGCAGTAATCCTTAATCCAAGAAATTCTCCCATTTTTGCTTTGGCATTTGAAATTTATGTCCTTTTGCCGTCACTGAATCTTTGTGGACCTCAAGGTTTCTGGGTGTCATATATTACCTGTTGCATCAGGTACGAATTAGGAATGTTTCTGCATTTCAAGTTTTGGAAAAACCCATCAAATACTGGCTTGATAAAAATAGAGCTTGCTCTTCTCCCGGGCTGTTGCTAGCAGTGTCTCTTCCATTCTCGTGCGGTTTTGGGGCTGCAGGCTTCCGAAGTGGGAACACTGCCAATGCATGCACCTTCTATCTACCAAACGGAAGATTTTCTCAGAAACCCAGCCAACTGTGGTTCGGTTGCACTGGATAGTCCTGTGTCTCTTCCTGTAACTTTATTTAATTCATAAGCTTGCATTCCACCTTTGTACCCAGGCGTTTCTAAAGCACAGGGGTCAGGAAGCTTTGGTAAATTTCTATTGTCCGTAGTTTTGCTTTTTACAGAGTCAGGTGGTTGGAATCACATAGTATGTAGCCTTTTCAGGCTGTTTTTCACTTTGAAATAGGCGTTTATGATTCCCTCCCGTGTTTTCATAGCTTAATAGTTATTTACTTTCATCGTTGGATAGGATTCCATGGAACAGACATCCCGCAGTTTATCTGTTCACCAGTTGAAGGGTATCTTGCTTACTTCCCATTTTTGACAATTACAAATAGAGTTGCTAGGAGCATTCATGTGCAGATTTTTACACAGACACGTTTTTAGTTTGCTTGGGTAAAGACTCAGGAGCACAATTGCTGAGCTGTGTTTAGTTTTGTAAGAAATTGCCAAACTGTCTCCCAAAGTGGCTGTACCATTTTGTGTTTGCACTAGCGGTGAAAGAGACTTCCAGTGGCTTCACATCCTTGCCAGCATTAGCTGCTGTCATTGCTTTGGATTCAAGGGGCTGGGGATTTAGCTCAGTGGCAAAAGCGCCTGCCTGGCAAGCGCAAGGTTGTGAGTTCGGTTCCCGGTTCTGGAGAAAAAAAAAAAAAAAAAAAAAAAAAAACCTCTCTCATTGCTTTGGATTCAGCCTCTCTCATATGTGTACTAGTGACTGTTAAATCCAGTTTCAAAAACCACTGGAATCTTTTCTTACTGCTGCCTCTATCATAGTCCTCGTGTTCCCCAAAGTAAAGTTATGTCTTCCTCTTTGAAATCTGATTTCTGGCCCTTTTGTGTTCTTGTTGCAGTTCACAGACCCCCAGTATTACTCTGCATTGCAGGGGCAAGCCCACGCCTCTGGAAGATTCCCGCATATTCTCAAGGCACTGCTTCCACCTTTTGTCAGGCTTGTAGGTTGTTTTTCATCTCCCTGTGGATCCACCCAGGCTCAAAACTTAGCTCCTTCAGTGGATTTCACACAAGAGTTTACCCATCCCAAGAATCATATGAGTCTGTTAACTGAATGGGGGGAAGCAGGTAAAAAGTTCATTACTTCCTGACCATGTCGAACTTTTCTGCTCTTTCTTTGTTGCCTTCTTTCTAGATAAAAACCACTCCTCTCTGTCTCATGTGCAACTGTTTGACATCTTCTCTTAAGCTGTTGGGTTGCATGTCCCACAGGGACGTACCCTGTTGTAATTCGACCTATCAAGGCATATTACCATTAACCATCTGACCACCCGAGAGGAATTCTTCTAAGGACACCTGAGAGAATACAGTTTATTTTCTCTCGTTATATGTCAGTATTTTCGCATATATTTTTTTCTCTCTGGATAGTAAGGCCCTGAAGCATAATAATTAGTTCTTCACCATTTTGATCACCATCACATCAGCTTTAGAAGTGGTAATCAATATGTTTATTGAACATATGAATGGTGAATTATGCAGGACTTCCACCCTTTTTTAAAGAGTAAAAAAGTAATCCTTTTATGTATACATTCTTAAATTAAAACAGTAGATGTCCAAGTAGAAACACAGACCACTATTTCTTTGCCCAGTGGATAACCTTTATTAAGAGATATCAGAAGACATTGTACTACAAATAAAGCTGATATAGCCAACAGGCAGGATTGCTATGATCTCAGAACTGAGGCCTGGGTCAGGTGTTGCAGTGTAGAAAGATCCAGCCTTCTTAGCAGGTGGATGTTGGATGAAGAGCTTCCAATTTCACTGATGACTTCTGAGAAATGACTCTTGGCTGTATTTGGGTGCCTCTGACATTGGAAAAATATTTTTAGGTAAACAGAAGAGATAAGTAGATATTAAGAGGGAAAATAAAGTTGTGGACAATTCTCATGGAAAGACTGCACAATGCACTGGTAATTTTGAGCATCAGAAATAGTACACCCAGAGCAACTGGGCAGTCATACAGCGGGATCACAGCATTTGTGCCCACAGTGGTTAAGGTACTCATTATAGAATGGAAACAGATAGAAGCATGGTGCTCATATACTCGATACAACCATAGCAGAAAATGAAATAGAGGTCTAAGAACGTGCTAGTGTCCAGGGGTGGTCAAAGAGATGAACAATGCAGAGATACTGAGTCTTGGGCAGCTGGGAATGAGCAACCTGCCTCTTAAAAGGTGGGCTCACAGCAGTGGCAGCAGCAGGCCGGGCGGCAGCAGGACTGTCCACAGTAGGAGGGGCGGCAGCAGGAGGCCTGGGCATGGTGCAGCTGGCAGCAGGTTGGGGGCGTGCTGCTCACCACGCAGCAGGGCGGCAGGTAGGTGCCCTCCACGCGGCAGTCTGGGCGACACCACCTGGTGCGGTAGCTCACGGCGCCGGCGCTGCTGCCGCCTTCCTGGCCCAAACCGATGCCACCCCCGATGCCACAGCCAGTGCCAGTACAGGTTGGCTCGCAGTAGCTGGAGCCGTAGATCCCACTGGTGCGGCAGCTGGGAAATCCGCAGAAGCTGGTGGAGCAGCAGGCCATGGTGCGGGGAGTTGTGGCGAGAGTTGTGTTGCTGGGAGAAGTGGAGAAGTTTCTGAGCTTTGGCGGTGACTTCCACACGGGGCCTTTTATACACCCGAGCCGGCTGCTCCTTATGGAATTCTTCACATATTTCTCTTGTTTTTGTTTAAATTTATTCCTCAGTGGTCCTCTGATTGGCTCCCACTGAAATACTTTTGACACATTATGAGCCGCAGTTTGAAAATTACTTTACTTTAAAAGTCATGGGGACTCCTCACATCAGCTCTCAGCTCTTTAGAATATGCTTGTGGTTTCCAGTGTTGAAAGACTCCTTCCACTTTACACAACATCAACACCCTCATTTGGCATAGTCATCCCATGTGACAGTCTATGCAGACCACAAAGCCCAGGGTAACTTTCGGGCTATATTAAATATTATCTTTCCCCTCCTGGGTAGATGGATTGAACTCCATTGAATGTAGAACATCAGACTATTTGCTAAACTGCCGCAGTATATTTGGTCACGTGGAATTAAAACTACCACCACATTTACTCGAACATCACATCAAATTACCCTTGTAATTCCTTTGGTTTCAGCCCATCTGAAATGTGAAAATGTTCTTGTGTTCCAGGCCAATAATATTTTCCTGTGAACTAAATGATTTAGTGAATAAGAAGGTATCTAGCATGATGCTTAGCTTATGGAGGAATCTTATGAAATTTTTACTGAACATAATTCAATAGATGCATATTAAATGGGTGGAGTAAGTGCATGATTCATGGGGTCCTGTGCAACTCGTAAAGGATTAAGTAGAACTTCGAAGCTACAGTACCTTTCATGAAGGAGACTTGTTATTTGCTCTGAAAAGAGACTGGGAAGTGTTGGATTATTTTTATCTGAATTTGGTAGTTGAACCAAGACAGGAAAAAAAACAAGTAGGAATTCTGACATTTTGATGAACGCACTGCAACCCGCTTTGGTCTGTTCAGAGAGCTATCATCTCGAGAGTGATCCATCCAAGGTAAGTGCTGGGAGCTTGTGAGTAACTTCAGAAATATTTTCTTAGGTTTTCCTATACTTATGTCCCATTACTATATTTTATATGTTGCACTCAAATGCTTAAAGAAAAATTTGGAAATGAATAGTAAAACCTATTTCTTTTTGTTCTTCTTAAGAAAACACATTTTCTGTTTGGCTACAAATCACGGTACGGAAGTTTTGGATTTCTAATTTGTCTGCCTGATATGGTCACTAGGTACACCGCATAGCTGTTTGTCCTGCTCCTATTGAGACCAGAGATACGCCATGCACATGCACTAATACTGTGGGCTGAAACTTAACCACAAGGGGAGCAGGAGGAGGAAAGAGTCAGGTTAAGGAGTAAGAATTAAATCTTGGAAAATAAGTGGTATTTGGTAGATATTTTAAAGTCCCTTAGCAGGTACTGCAATTTATTAATGTCGGGTGTGAATGGAGGAGATCATCGAGCATGTTATATAATAAGAAATTACAGAAATACACTTAGGCAGGAACCCACTGCTTTGACCAGCCTAAACATTTTAACTAAAAGTGGCTGAATTTCTCTAGACTAGTTATAGTAGATCAGAGTATGTAAGTATTTGAGTAACTACAAAGATTATGGAATGTATGGAACATTTTATTGGGAGGTACATGCAAGCATGGTTTAATTTGTATTTAGTCTTTCTTCTTTAAACAATATGCTCATGGCTTAAGATTAGTATCAAAATATAAGGCACTCTTCTTGAGTTCCAAGGGTAAGTGGACACATTCAGGTGAAAGAAGGACATAAGTCTGCTTGCTTTGCACATCTGAGTGTTTTATTTGACAGTAATAAGGGCTGTTTAAGTAGAAAGCAGATGGAAGCCACACAGAGATCAAGAGCTAGGGAGAGAGCTGAGATATCACTGAAACGAAGAGCTGCCCTTTGGGGTGTCCTCTCCAGCAAGGCAGGGTGTGCAGAGCACAGTGATTGGTCCATATTTTCAGTGAGCCAAATCAGCACAGCCAGGGGGCCAAAGAGTTTTGTTATTTATGAGTAGTTTATCAGCATCGCGATACTTGGCACAGGTCACGTGGAAGGAGCACATCTTAGGAGATCAGCAGGTTTGCTTTGCTCCCCTTTCATTCTTGAGTAATCAACAACCTGGTCATTAACAGGTGGGCTCACAGCAGCTGGGCTGGCAGCAGGTGGGTTCACAGCAGCTGGGCTGGCTGCAAGGGGGCTCACAGCAGTAGCAGCAGCAGGCCGGGCGGCAGCAGGACTGCCCACAGTAGGAGGGGCGGCAGCAGGAGGCCTGGGCATGGTGCAGCTGGCAGCAGGTTGGGGGCGTGCTGCTCACCACGCAGCAGGGCGGCAGGCAGGTGCCCTCCACGCGGCAGTCTGGGCGGCACCACCTGGTGCGGCAGCTCACGGCGCCGGCGCTGCTGCCACCCTCCTGGCCACAGCTGGCTCCACAGGAGCTGGTCTGGCAGCAGCTTGGCTGGCAGCAGCTGGTCTGACAGCAGATTGGCTGGCAGGAGCTGGTCTGGCAGCAGGTTGGCTGGCAGCAGCTGGTCTGGCAGCAGGTTGGCTGGCAGCAGCTGGTCTGGCAGCAGCTTGGCTGGCAACAGGTTGGCTGGCAACAGGTTGGCTGGCAGCAGCTGGAACCGCAGTTCCCGCTGGTGGAACAGCTGGGAATTCCACAGAAGCTAGTAGCACAGCAAGCCATGGTGTGAGGAGTTGGGTTGAGAGCAGAGTTGTCCAGAGAAGGTTGTGTTTTGGCTGCACCTTTGACAGCTGGCCTTTATATATTCCCCAGAGCTGTTTGTTTACCTAACATTTAGCATCTTCCCTTGATGACACTTGCAAAGCCAGGCTCCCATTGGCCTGTCGCTAAGTTGTTTAGACAACTCTAACTAGCACTTCAATTGTTTGCTTTGGTAAATATTCAATTAAGGCTCATTATGTTTTTCCTTTGCCCTCTGGACTAAGAGAAGGTGCATCCGGGAAGCCAGTGAGGGCAGCACCTCTTTACGCAAGTTACGTGGCAGGTGGACACGGTTAGACATTGCCCTGCTTGCTTTGTCATAGCTGTCCCTGGTTAACCTTCAGGGGCAGTTCATCTAAACCGGACATTTACTTCCTCCATGGTCACTCAGATGTGATCATGATTTCATAAACAATTTGTTCCGACTTGGGAAGACTAATCTTAGCGTCATCCAAAAGTGAGCTATCGCTTTGTTTGTCAACATCCAAACAAAGTCTGTCTTTCTCTGATGGGTTCATGCAGGTAATAGCATCCAATTAGCATTCTAGTCTTCATCACCAGTGCACATATTACCAACTGAAGCCTTCAATGACCTCTGCCTGCAAATTGCTTCCTGACTTTGTTAAATTAAAAATATATGCTATTAATGGATGCACATTGTAAGAAGTCAAACAGTACAGTCATATAAAGAAAAACTAATATTTCCTCCCCCGATGCCCAACATAGCACATCTTTCCAAAACTAGTACTCCAGAGAAAATCAGTGTTAAAAGTCTGGTGCATATTCTTTGACACTTGTATGCCTGCATCTGAAAAAAAAAATACACACGCACGCACATGTATCTTCTGCTTTAGTAAGGTTTGGATCTCTTCATACATATTTAAATTGTGGTGAAATAGCAATAACATAAAATTTATGGTAGTAATCTTAACCATTTATATTAACTACCTTAGCCACTTTAAAATAGTCTTATCACCCTTGCTGGAAATCTGTTGATCATATATTTAAGAGTTTATTTCTGATTATTCTATGCCATTTGTCTCCACGTGTGTATGTTAGTATCTGGTTGGGTTACAGTCACTTTGCAGTACATTTTGAAACAGGAAATGTGAGACCACCTCTGTTCTTTCTCAAGATTGTTTTAATTTTTTAGGATCCCTTATGATTCTATATGAATTTTTGGATAGATTTTGCTAATTCTGCAAAAGTACCATTAAGATTTGTGTAGGGACTGCATAAAATCAGTAGATTCTTTTGGTAGTCTTAACATTTCCCAATGTTGAGTTTTCTGACCCATGAACATGGGATGTCTTTCCACTTATTTGCATCCCCTAACTTGTTTCAGTTATGTTTTGTATTTTCGGGTGTACAAATATTTCCCTTTGGTTATATTTATTGCTCAGAATTTGTGTGATATTGTAAGTACAATTGTTTTCTTAATTTCCTTTTCAGATTTTTCATCATTAGTGCATAGGAATTCCAGTGATGTTTGTGTGTTGATTTTGTGTTTGTTAACTTTACTGAAATCATTCATTAGTTCTAACAGCTTTCATGTGCTTGTGAAACTTTTAGGGACCTCCACATATAAGATCATGTTGTCTTTTAACAGTGATAATTTACTTTTTCCTTTCCAATTTGGTTGGCTTTATTTCCTTTTCTTGCCTAATTACTCTGCCTACAACTTCCAGTATTATGATAGCTAGACTGAACAGAAGTTGGCGTTCTTGCCTTGTTCTTAACCTTCTGGGAAAAAACTTTTAGTCTTTCATTGTTGACTGGTAAGTCAGTTGTATTCTCTTAATATTTAAATTTTATTATGTTGAGGTAGTTTCTATCCTAATTTATAGAGTATTTTTTTAATTATGAGAGGGTTTTTAATTCTGTCAAATGCTTTGTCTGCATTGATTAAGATGACCACATGTCTTTTTTCCTTTATCCTGTTAATGCAATGTATTGTACTGATTGATCCTTGCATTTCAGGATAAAGTCCCAGTAGTCATAGTTTTAAAATCCTGTGTGTGTATGTGTGTAAACTACTGGTAGTTGAACCTGAGGCCTTCTTATTGAGCTATATACTGTAGCCCTTTTAACATTTTTTATTTTATAGCAGTCTTACCATATTCTAAGTTGCCCAGGCTGGACTTGAACTTTTGATTTTTCTGCCCCAGACTGCCAAAATGCTGGGATTCCAGGCATGGGATCTCATACCTGATTACTTGTTAATTCTTTTAATGTGCTGTTGAATTCTATTTGCTAATATTTGGCTGTTGACTTTGGCATGAATATTCACTGGGAATATTGTTCTGCAGTTTTAGAGAGTCATCTGACTCTGGTGTCAGAGTAATGCTGGCCTTACAGAATGAATTTGGAAGTATTTCCTTCTCTTCAGTGTCTTGAAAGAGTTAAGGGTTGGTGTTAATTTTCTGTATATATTTGGTAGAATTCACTAGCAAATCCCTCTAGGCCTTGCCATGGATTCTTTTTATTTAGGAAGGTTTTGATTACTGATTCAACTTCCTTGTTAACTATAGATTTGTTCAGAGTTTTTTATTTCTTTATGATTCAGTTTTGGCAGGTTGTGTGTTTCTAGGAATTTATTCACAGATATGTTTATCTATGGGTAAGACATGTCTATGTTACTCAATTCCTGATATATCCTATATATAGGACTCATTTTTCATAGCTACACAACGTTATGGAGTCTGACCATTTCACAATTTTTTGAGTCATCTTATTGACAATATGTCAATCTTTTTAAGTTAGTGATTTCAAATTTTAAAATAATCGGAGGGAGGGCCTCTGGCGCACAGGGAGCCATGGGGTGGGGGGGAGCACTGGTCTTCTGGCTGCCTCACTTCCTGCCTCGTAGGCCCCTGGAGGGAGGGCCTCCAGCACACGGGGAGCCATGGGTGAGGAGCACCTGTCTTCCAACCGGCAGCTCGCTCCCTGCTTCGTAGGCCCCCGGAGGGAGGGCCTCTGGGGCACGGGGAGCCATGCAGCCACTGCTCAATTGAGAACTATCATGACACAGAGAAACAATGACACAATTGGCCCACCATGCACCAGCTGCTGATGCCCACCTATGGACGTGTTTCATTCAAACATGGAAAAACCCCTGGGAATACATGCTATACAACGGGCCACTCTTGCTCCTGCCATTGAGAACCAGAAAGGTCTAGAGTCAACAGAGGAGCAGCTGCTGAACAAGGACTCGGAGAACATGAGAATGCAGACTAA